AGGTATTGTGAATGAGATTGCCCGTAAACTGTTAATCTCTTATCATAGATATTTTCAAATTTTTGGTTATCTAACGTCAAGCAACTGAGTGTACAGTGATGTTGTATTTGTCCTCCTATGTCAGAAAATGATGATCATTCCGTTATGTCAGTTAAAAGATGTTTTCTTGACTGAGTTATCTTGGGCATACACTATATAAGTTCGACCAATATCTGCCTTTACGGTCCTTGCTGATTGAGTGTAGTTGTAGATGACAACTTGAAATGCTCAAACGAAAGTGTTTTACTTCATGAACTCCCTGACGTTCAAGTTGGAACGTGTATGCGGATGCGGCCTTCTTTAGTCAGATGTGAGCTATGATTATGATATTAGGCTACCTAAATCAGAATCAGTCACAGTGGTAGACATGAATATACGTTGGATCTTCTTTATGATCTACAACACCATCTTTTACTAACACAAAACTTCATAGTACCTTATCAATATCCAGTCTCTCTCAATATTGTCGCTGCTTCATTGTTCTGTTGTCTTCATAACTTTTTTTTTTAAAATTCATCATGTCATATGAATGTGTTCTTGCAATTTGAACAGATTTGCATATGAGCCTAGACTTGTAATGATCCATACTGAGTGAATGAATGACTGAGATTTGAACGAGTGCATGTTCTTTGATTGTGTCTGATGTTTACATGATATACATAATGTATACTTTGTTTAGTGCTGTGAACTTTCAGTTATATATCCACATAGACTGTTGGAACCGAAGATGACTACTTCCAGATCCGATATTTTCAGTAACTACATCAATCGAAATCTATTGGACGGTGTATACAATATAGTTAGAAGTTGAATTTTACTTTGAATTCACAAAAATCTCATTTCTACTTATTCATTACACTTTCCTCATCCCTTTTCAAACACTTCACTTCTACCTAAAGTTTGTGCTGATAATGTCGTTCAGAGGAACAATAAAAGCTCTACGACCAAACCATCCAGCTCAAAGAATAAAACTTCATCAACACTCTACTTTTAATTGATCATGTCATGTTGATTTGTTATTGGTAACTTTGGAAATTGTGAATAGATTCACATTGATCAATACTGCTTGACTGGTATTTGAAAGTATTCACGTTTTTTATTGAATGTGATATTTACTTGATAATATACACTTTGTTAAGTGATGTGAGTTATCAAGACAGTATAGTTCACATTATTTCATGTGTGTAGACATTCATGCAACAATTTCGCTAATAAATCATTGTCAGTTTACTTGACTCAGTAGGCTTAAAGACAATTACTAACTGAATTTGTATTTACCAATCATTACTATAAGCGTAAGTTGTTCAAAAATTTGTAACTAGCAGGATGTGATCAGTTGCTTATAATTCTATAAATTAACAACATTGATATGAAAAATTTATTGCATTCGTCTTATTAATATTTGCTATAAACTGCTAAATGAAATGACATAAGATGGTTTTCTGTTTCTCAGCCAGTCGCTCATCAGCATTATGTTGTATTATCATACTACTTTCAAAATCTAGAGGCGTTTAACCTGTTTTCATTGTGCTTAATTAATCCATGAGTCGAGATCTGAAATGTTCATTCCAAAACCAATGCGTTTTAGTCTTCCTTTCAGTTTTGAAGCAAACATAAGAATTGAGATGTTAGTTGGTTCTTAGAGAGTTGTCAGTAATCTCATCTCAAACACAATGATATTGGTAAAAGCATGGCTTAAATGACTCTGAATAACAGTAATACATTCTAATTGGGATGCGAAGTTCGTTTTTGGGAAAAATCAACACAGGAGGGCTATTCACAGAGATGACGGGTAAAAAACTTAGTCTCTTTGACAAATTTGTCTCGTAGGTACCAATGCCAGGGTTGGACTTGAGCAGAGTAGAAAGTTAATAATAAGTATATTTCTTGTTACATCCCAAAAGTTGTATTTCTGACGTTTTGCAACTTAATGTAAGGTTCGGTTAGCACTTCGGACTCTGAATCCAGCGACCCAAGTTCGAGTCTCAGCGAGGCCTCATGCTTGCCTCCGAATGCCTTGCTACGGCCGACAGTGAGGAGAGTCAGGTCGTCCTCTCTAAATGCTCTCACATGTCTACGCATATACAGCCACTACCAGGGAAGTCCTACTCACTATCTTCGTGCGGCATCACTGTTGCTTACGAAATTGAGAAGACGAGAAGCGAATGTCCGACGCTTTAACCGGGTTGAAGAGCCATCGAGGAGAGTTGGAAAACCACCATTCCAAACCAATGGTGCACATGGGCTGAATGATCCTGAAGAAAAAAATGAAGTATGAAGTTATTGTTGATCATCGGCTACCATAGGACTGCATCTCCTCACGATGCTCCACTGCCTTGTGGATTAGATTACTTGCTTCGGTTTGGGCACCCGGACAGCCTTCATACAAAGCAAATGAGATTTGTATGACGCATATGTATCTGGTGCCTCCTTGTACCACTATTTATGGGTTCAAATAAATAAATAATAATAATACTTATATAGATATCAGTAGCTCATATCACAATGTGAACAAAGAATGGAATAAACTTAATTATAACATAATGTAAACAATACATCATACAATATCCAAACATACATGTGATGATGATAACAGTACAATAATAATCTATGTATTAATTAATTTGTTTATTTACTTTTATAAAAAGTAAGTGATAAGAATACATTTTAATCATAAGTTACAATAGATAATTTGCACCTAATTTGTACCTAATTCTTTTTATTTTTGTGTTTTCAAAAGAGAAAAAAAAACCCTACCTTGATAAGAGTACAATTGAATATACAAGAAAAAGAATGAGACAATTATTCATAGGAAGGCATATAAAGAATGATCATATTGAGAATAACTACACAATGATAATATATGTGCGTTTTACCAAGTATACATTACGAGATGGAATAGGAGTAAGTCAGTAAGTTGAAGTATATATAAGTAATTAAGGTGTCTGTATTCAATAATGGAAAGTAGGATCATTTCTGAAATCATTATTGTACGTAATGAACTACATTGTTGATGTATGTCATATTGGACACATACACATTCACACACACACACACTCTGAGAATGACAAAAACTTCCAAAGGAACATTGTAAGTCAACACAATCAACTTTATATCATTCCTATGTGTAATTTTGTTTTATTATGGAAAATGTAATAGATCTGAAAAAAATATGCAAATTAAATCTGGTATTATCACAGTCTGTAAGTAATGAAGAAGAAAAAAGTCAATGAAAGAAGAAGGACTAAAACAATTTCCATATAAATAAGTATATAAGTAACATATTGAAGTTATGGAAAATTATTGAAATGGATTGATATAGAGATATTATAATGACAATTAGAATGATTATAGGTAGTATAGAAGCCAATATAAAAAGAATGAATAACAGTTGGAAAGAGCTGGAAAGGTTTACCCAAGATAGTGCTAGTGGGCACAGCCTATGCTCCACCACGAGGAGTAACAAGCGTAAGTAAGTAAGTAAGTAAGGTAGTATGTAGTAGAATAATCAAGTTTTTTTAATGAACTGATGTGATATGCGGCATGGTTTCAGTGTAACTATGAATTCCAAATAATGAATTGAACCAATATTTCAATCACTATAGTGCTTAATTTTTGTTGAGAACAAAAGACAAATAGAAAGTTGTTTTGTTTCTTTCACTCGGAATTTACACAACAATAAATACCATAACTGAACTGTAATCTCAATAAAGAATAACGATAAATGAAATGATGAAAAAGGCGCTTAAATAACAAAAGAAAAGAGATTGCAATGCATATGCACTATTACATGTACGTATAGATCTGTATAAACTATTGTATGTATGTATGTATGTATGTATGTATGTATGTATGTATGTATGTATGTATGTATGTATGTATGTATGTATGTATGTATGTATGTATGTATGTATGTATGTATGTATGTATGTATGTATGTATGTATGTATGTATGTATGTATGTATGTATGTATGTATGTATGTATGTATGTATGTATGTATGTATGTATGTATGTATGTATGTATGTATGTATGTATGTATGTATGTATGTATGTATGTATGTATGTATGTATGTATGTATGTATGTATGTATGTATGTATGTATGTATGTATGTATGTATGTATGTATGTATGTATGTATGTATGTATGTATGTATGTATGTATGTATGTATGTATGTATGTATGTATGTATGTATGTATGTATGTATGTATGTATGTATGTATGTATGTATGTATGTATGTATGTATGTATGTATGTATGTATGTATGTATGTATGTATGTATGTATGTATGTATGTATGTATGTATGTATGTATGTATGTATGTATGTATGTATGTATGTATGTATGTATGTATGTATGTATGTATGTATGTATGTATGTATGTATGTATGTATGTATGTATGTATGTATGTATGTATGTATGTATGTATGTATGTATGTATGTATGTATGTATGTATGTATGTATGTATGTATGTATGTATGTATGTATGTATGTATGTATGTATGTATGTATGTATGTATGTATGTATGTATGTATGTATGTATGTATGTATGTATGTATGTATGTATGTATGTATGTATGTATGTATGTATGTATGTATGTATGTATGTATGTATGTATGTATGTATGTATGTATGTATGTATGTATGTATGTATGTATGTATGTATGTATGTATGTATGTATGTATGTATGTATGTATGTATGTATGTATGTATGTATGTATGTATGTATGTATGTATGTATGTATGTATGTATGTATGTATGTATGTATGTATGTATGTATGTATGTATGTATGTATGTATGTATGTATGTATGTATGTATGTATGTATGTATGTATGTATGTATAGCGGCATAATAACAAGACAGATCAGTATCCATATAAACCTATCAATCTCTGTATACATGTATAAAATTGCATGTCTGTTGCATAGGTAACAAGATATATCCCCATATTAATCTTCTCTAGTTCGTCTATCTTTAATAGGAATTGATAAATGTAATGGAATTGTTGATGTATTATTTTCATGATTAGATATTTTCAATTGACAATGTTTAGAATGATCTATAGATCTATTTAAATTTGGTGTAAATGAATTCACATTAGGAATTTGAATTTCATTAGAAATTTTTATAAAACTTGGTCGATTCATTGGTTCATCATGCCAACAATGATTCATTAATGTACGTAACCAAACTGGCATTAAATCAGGTGCAGGTAATCTGTAACCTAACAAAAAAAGAAGAAGAAGACTTTAAAAAGAAGAGGAAGAGGAGACTCAAACTAAATCGAATCGATTTCTTCAAAATACCTAATAAACTATCCGTTACATCTAATCAAGTGATTCAATATGAAGAAACGTCTCATGATGACATCTGTAAATGCTTGTCATTAGTGAAACAAACTTATTCTAAATCATCTCTCCATATGAATTACTTTACCTGTAAATTTTCTAGACTCTGGAATAATCTACCACAATTACTCCCATTATATGTTCGCTGCATTGATGTATATTGCTCCACTAAAAATGCATTGAATGGTCTAGCACCTGTAAGTGTATCTTATTCCACAAGTGAGATTATAGGAACTTTAAATGTTTAGCCATTATTATTAGTGAATTCCTTAAGTAAAACCACTTACCTGCTGTCACTTTATGTTAACACTGTCCCTAGCAACCTTAACTAATTTGAATAGTATATCACTGTGTCACATGATACATGCATTTTGGTAGGGCGGATTGACATATTTTGGTAATTACTGCTTTGTTGTTCCGTGTTCTCTGTTTTCGTTTTACTTTCTCAAGCGGTAGATAATTATCAGTAATTAAATCTAGCACAGGAAATGACCTGAAATACACCGTTCATAAATCGATAGGCTGTTCGTTTAAGAAAAATTAAAAGTTTGCGGCTGATGCAGTGGGTCGCCGTAATACATGTACTACTTAAACGATTACTGAACTAGTACACTTAAAACTTTCTTCTATCACATATTTATTCTGTACATCTAATGTTACTATTTATATCAAATTGATTATGCCTGTAAACTGGCATGAATTCTGTAATTATTATTTTCAGAATATATATATATATATATATATATATATATATATAATGAAAGTGTTAACAGATGAATAGGAAAATGTTCTACTTCACATCTTGATTTATACTGTTACATAATCGGAATAATTTGATTGAATAATATATTTTGTCTTCGAACCAATCATCAGTGTTTAACAAAAGTTGTACCTTGACTAATGCCCTTAAATACCCTGCTACGGCCGAGTGAGGAGAGTTCAACCCCCTCTGCAAATGCTCTCAAATGGCCACATGCATACAAACACTCCAAGAGAAGTCCTACTCACTGCGTTCTCGCACAACAGGTGTTGCTTACGACATTGAAAGGACCCAAAGCGAATGTTCGGAGATTTAACCGGGCTGGTTGGTTGACACGGACAGTCCAAGGGAAGTTGAAAAACCCTGATTCCAAACCAATGGTGCATATGGGATGCACGATCCTGAACAAATAAATGAAATATGAACCTATTGTTGGTCACTGGCTACCATGGGACTGCATCTCCTCACGATGCTCCACTGCTTTGTGGATTAGACCTTTAGGTCAAAGGCTCCAGGTGTGGCACCCTAAGGAAACCACCAGCTTCGGTTTCAGCACCCAGGCAGTATCACAGCGCTCACACAAATCGAATGAGATTTGTGTGGAGCACATGTATCTGATGCCTGCTTGTACCAATGTTTATGTGTTTAAATAAAATACTTTGTCTAGGTAAAGGTTATCCACTATACTCTATCGATCAAATGATACTATGATCAATAGTTTTGGTGTTTCAACTTTGCGTGTAATATATAATTTGATATAAATTTACTCAGACGTAAATGACGTGTAATCTATTAAAAAATTGGTTCTTCCTGGAGGATTCAAACCCTAATCACCTGACAGTAGTTTTATTTAAGTCAACTTTATTGACACATTACTGATAACAGTAAGTTAGCATAAAATTCTATTCCAAAACTTACTGCTAACTTAAAAAACACTGGAATAGAGATTTATTAGTAATTATTTACCTGATTCAATCATATCCCTTGTTTGTTGATTAGACCAATTTCGATAAGGAACATCACCAAAAGTAAATATTTCCCATAAAAGTACACCATATGACCATACATCACATTTAATAGTGTAACGACCAGTTCGAAGTGCTTCAGGAGCTGTCCATTTAATTGGGATTTGACCTCGTTTATCACTTAACTAGAAAAAGATAAATAGCATAGATAAAGTGAATTACAATTATCATATGAAGGAATAATTAAGAAAAACAAACTTAGTAACGACAATGTTATTAGACTATTACAGTATAACTAAAAACAATAATGTTTAAGAAATAAGTTGACATTTGATAGATATTCTCATGAAACTACTTCATAGTAATTGAATTATATGACGAAAGGTGTTTCTGACATAAAACTCTGTCAGTAATAATAATGAAGGATAGTGAATTCGGTCACTGTAACACAGAATAGATCATAGTACTCAAGTCTTTAACTGTGGCATTATAAGAGGAACGTTCATATTTCCATGGATGCATCAGTTCTTAAATTTGAAAAAAATACTATATCCATAAATGTCAACTAGTACAAAAAATATGATCAAGATCTTCTACTACTGACCAACCTTGTCTAATACAAAAACTCAGTAGTGAAATAGAATCTCCTAGTGAAATAATAAGCTAAAATATCTCCAAATGTATTATATATATACCCGGATGCCCTGGTATGGTCAAGAGTGGGGAGAGTCAGCTCTCACTCTCCAAATGCTCTCACATGGCCACGAGTATACAACCACTGTCAGGGAAGTCATACGCACTGCCTTTTCCTGGCATTACTGTAGTTCACGAAGTTGAGAGGACGAAAAGCGAATGTCCGACGCTTGAACCGGGTTGGTGGATATGGAAAATCCAGCGAGAGGAATTGTTAACCCTCATTCCAAACCAATAATGCATATGGGTTCAAGGGTGCCGAGGGATGAGAAGGCGTATGAACTAATAGTCGGTCACTTGCTAGCATGTGACTGTATCTACCTACGTTGCTCACTGCCTTGTGGATTAGACTTATAGGTCAAAGGCTCGGGGAGTGGCCTCCTAGGAAAATCATTTGATTTGGTTTGTATGTTTATGTTTAAATAAATAATATATGTATTTGATGAAAAATGAGATTTATAAACACCGATATTATATAAATGCATAAATCTATTTATTCAACTTACTTCATATATATGCTCTTCTCTCGACATGCCAAAATCAGCTATTTTTAATTGACCATCATCAGAAATTAAACAATTTCTTGCTGCTAAATCACTGTTTTAATACAGATAGATTGTGTATAAGGATATAATACAAGAAGAAAGAATTAATTCGTAGAAAGATATGAAGCGACTTTAATCTCATAGTTTCAAGGAAGATAGAAATTGCATACAATGACGCCACTGTGATCGATTCTGAGCCATGTCACACAGAGTCCCCAACTATTGGTTACGATAGTCACACGGACTTCAACCATGTAGTCGGCATCTACCAACATGGCTAATACTAGGGATAAAGTGGTTAAACTTGATGATTATCGCATACACTGTAAACAAAATTTCAATATTCAAACCGAGTTTCAAGTAGTCACTCTTCTCCATATTCTATCGTGATTAAGACTGAATGAGATTCCACCAAAACACCAATTTAAACTTCTTCGCACAAGCTACAACACTGTTGAATAGATTTTTAGTAGCCAGAGATCTCAATCCATTTAGATCGTATGATTGATTGTTATTGAAATATACATGTCGCTAATCCTCGTATATAATCATCGACTTAATTCGAGCTAGTGAATAACGTAATTAATTAAATCATATAGGAGAATGGATTTCGAATATGTATATTTCATACAATCGTTGATCCAGAAAACGAAGCGAAGAGAGTGAAGCAAAATGAACCACAGTGGAGAAGGCGAATGAGCCAGATTGATTTAGCCAAGCGTGAATCGATATTTATAGTCACACAAAAAATAAGCTACAGATATGTGATAGGTAGGATAAGAAATACACACATAAACCCTCATATAAAAACAGCCAAGGTTGACAAGTGAATAATTAACAAGGTCCGTCTAGAGCCCCTTCGGGGCTACTGTCTGTCCCAAGCTCGGATAAAAGCAGAGAGTTGGGAATGGGGTTAGCGACCTCATCCCGTAGAAAACTAACTCGCTAAAAAAACTCTAACCAGAGAAAATTATTCAAAATGTAGTCTTGGTATTTTGTAAGCAATGATGGATAGTGGCTAGCAGTGGAATCCAGGACGCGCGTTTCGTCCCATTTGGGACTCATCAGCTGGATGTACCTGCATCTCAGAGTTCAAAATGAATTCATTTCCATCGAATCTACCCCCTTGAAAGTTATTAAAGAACGCATACTCTAAAACACTACAGGTAATAGGAGGATGTTAGTTGTACCACAACAATCAATCTGTTTATAACCATCATCGGGATTGAATTTATCAAATATGAAGTTTTGTATTGATATGAAATGAGAGTAAAATAAAACTTACCGATGAATACAATTTTTCGCTTCTAAATACATCATTCCATTAGCAGCATCTAAACTCATTTGAAGTAGTTTCATAACAGGCAATGCATTTTTTGATTTACGTAAATGATTTAAAAGAGAACCACCTTTACAATGAATACAAAAAAAAAACAAATAGATTAGAATAATATGAATCGGTAACTTATCAAAGAAAGAGAGTTTAAATGATCCTTTCAATGAAATGAATATGTAGTTGCATATGTCTATCTATATGAACATAGTAACAGATAGATAGTTATATAAGGTTTAGAGAAGTCTAATCTACATACGTTCACTACTAAGTAGTATTAAGTAGTGTGATATGATATACACAAAAAAGGTAAGCATAGAATGATGGCAGTGGTGTTGTTAAGTGAATAACTCACTTCCATTTGACATCTGTGCTGATAATATTGCCCAGAAAGATAGTGAAAGCCCAGAGAATGAAATAACAAGAAAAAAAAGCTAATCACAATAGCAGTTTCACCTGAATTTTACAGTAATTCCCTCGCAAAGCGTTCATACTTTCCCGTTGTTGATATGCAAGATTATATAAGTCAGCTACAGCATACGTGGAAATTTGACAGAAAACCAGGTACTACCTATAGTTTCATAGTTTAAGTTGAATTCTGAACTGTAGATATAAGTGGAATTCGATGAAAGTATTGCATTCTATTTGGAACCAGTTGGTAGAATATATATGTATTGCAGTATTGACATTCATAAGCTAACTTTAAAATTCATTCGCCTAATTATAAATTCATTTCATCCTTACTGAAACAATAGCTTTCCTGTCACTTATCTTTTAAGAAACCATATTTGTTCCACTTCCAAAGATGTCCAAGCCAAATTCAACGTAATAGTTCAGTATATAAATGCAAAAGTCCCTGTTACGACACCACATTAAAACCATGATAGCAAAAAAAAGTTAGAAATAGATCGTGTGATTATGATCAGAATTTATTAGGGTGATAAGAAGTAGAAAAGGGTTTCGAAATTAAAGTTCCTGAGTAAAGCAAATATCAATTATCTTTACGCTATTTTTTTAACCGATTTTCAAACATGGCACACAATTTTTATAACAGTTGGTTGAGAAAGTTGAGGGAATGTAACCCTGTAGTTCGCATCTATCAATATGGTTCAAACTAACTTTCAGTGAATTCATGAGCTGATATGAAGCTACTAACTTATCGTCTCCACGTTTTCTCGAATCCACTTGCAGACCAGTGAACGTCGTTTACGGTAGATGGTCGTTGGATATGCGTAATACATGTTTTAACACATCAGTTGCTGAAGATCTGTTACATCATCAACCATTTTGTATTTTTTAACAGTAACCCAAAAGCTTCTAAGCCGATGGCTACAGCATACTCCGCTGGCCTTTCAAAGACATTTATGATCAAATACTAGTTTCATATATGTCACAGTCAGAATGTAAGACAGAACGAAGTGCTTGCAATATCGTTTATGACTTATTGACAGATTCAGTCATGAAAGAAGATAACGTTGATCAATGTATGTTTTCGAGTGATTTAAAATAGTTCACTGCTTAGTAGAATAGGAGATAAGTTATTCACAAAAATTTCTTACGATTGTATAACACTGTTAATGTCCAACCACAAAATACTGTCAATTCATATGCTAAAACCCTTATCGTTTGAAAACGTAACTACTTATAGCTAGTAAGTAGTAAGAATAACAAATTAACATAAGTGATATGCTAGAATTCATGAAAAACATGCCAAGTTCACTAACCTGGAACATACTCCATCACAATCATAATTGGATAAGATTGAACTGCAATACCAACTAATTTGACAATATTTGGATGATTGAAATTTAAAGCAGTTGTTTCACCTTGGAGAAATTTTCTGCGTAAATCTGATGCTGTCATATCGACACGACAAGTTTTCACTGCAACTTCATTTCCATTATATACACCTCGGTAAACATCACCGAAATTACCCTGTGAAAAACGAGATGTAGAATAAAATAAGCAATACACTATATCACATGAATCATTATTATTATTTTAACACTTAGATATTAGTACAAGGAGGCACCAAATACATATGCGCCACACAAATCTCATTTGATACGTCTGAGGGCTGTGATAATGCCTGTGTGCTCAAACCAAAACAGGTGGATTTCTTAGAAGACAACACCCGGAGCCTTTGATCTGAAGGTCTGATACACAAGGCAGTGGAGCATCGTAAGGAGATGCAGTCCCATGGAAACCGGTGACCAACAATTGGTTCATACGCCATTTGTTCCTCAAGGATACTGAAGACCATGTGCACCATTGGTTGGGAATCAGGGTTTTCCAACTTCCCTAAGTGAACTCTCCATGTCCACTAACCCGGTTAGAGCGCCGGACGTTCGCTTTTCGTCCTCTCATTTTCGTAAACAACACTTCCTCCACGAGAAGCCAGTGAGTAGGACTTCCCTGGCTGAGGCTGTATACGCGTGGCCATGTGAGAGCATTTCGAGAGGGAGAGCGGACTCTCCCCACTCTCGGCCCTACCAGGGCATTTAGGGGCATGTGTGTACTTGAAAAGCGATTGGAATCAGGTGTTCCCTTTGTTGAAGTACAACCAAAAATTAACACATGTGATTAGAGACATTCAAACAAGATCAGGAGACGTGTGTAATTTTCACAGTTACGCTATAGAATTATTTTTTTCGATAACGAGATAATGTGAAAATAAACAAAGAACCCTAATCCTTAATTCAGATCGCCAACATGAAAAAAATCTTGTTTCGAAATTTAAAACACAGACATTATGCGTCACAGTAGACAGAGGGTAAACATGTTTAGAACATATACCAATAACCCTAATCGATGAAAATTCAGACAGACTGACTTGGAACTGTTACGTAATAACTTAGGCTAAGAGTTCATGTGTCTGACTTGAAGTTCCCGTTAAATACGTGCAATACTGCCCAAACAATTGTAACCAATCTAAGCAAGTGTAACATTTCTCATCTATTCCATAATATGAAAACTTTACAAAATAATAAACATAAGAATGATACCATTTAAATCAATTAATAACTTATTAGTTACAATGTCTAAAAACATACCTGACCAATTTTTTGTAGTAGTTGTACATCACGATTGTCTAGTTCCCAATCAGGTCTTGAAATTGGTGTAATAAGACATGCACCTGATTTAGCTGTCACGGGAGTTTGAGTTTTCATATGATATTCAATTAGTTCCCTGTAAAATTTTAGTTATTAAACAAACACCAAATCTGATTATTCAAGGGAAATTTTCAGAGCTGATAATAAACTTAACGAAAAAAATCTTTGCTAATTACACAGAGGATGTCAAAAATAAATATGTTAAGGCCTCATCCAACTTTCGCAAGATCGCTAGGATCCATCTCCGAAACACACGTTCACCAATAATATTACTTAAATGATTGAAAACTTTTTGTACTAATTTGTTTACGAACAATACATAGATCCGCTATTGTCGAACTCAAATCACACCTAACACATTTCGAAGGAAACACTAAGCTACTTACTAGTAGTAATCATCACTGACCTAAAAATACTCATTATGAATGTCCACTGAGTAGTGAAAAACGTCTCTTTAAGACATGGATCAATGTTTTTATTTGAACACATAAATTTTGGTACAAGAGTACACCAAATATATATACGCCACACAAAAAAATGAGAATGGGAAGAGAAAAAAAGAAGGTAAGGAGCTTAAGAGAAAAAGAAAGAACAATAACGACCAGATTAGTGCAAGGTTAGTCAGTCAGTCAGCTGCAACGTAGGACCAGGCACATATGTGCATCGGTCCAGGTTGCCATACCTCATTAGCACAGCAAGATGAACAGCGGATTCATAGGAGTGGTTAGGTCAAAGGTTGCAATAAGGATATAGTATAGGAAGAAAGAATTAGTTCGTAGACAGAAAGAATGAAGTGATTTTAGTCTCTTAGTTTAAGGGAAGACAGGGAGTGTATACACCGACGCCATTGTGATCGATTCTGAGCCATGTCACCAAGAGTCTCCAACCATTGGTTACGAAAGTCACGCCGACTCCGACCAAGTAGTCTGCATCTACCAACATGGCTCAGACTAGAAGTTAGTGACTTCAGGCACTGATCCCACGTTTTGGTTTGGCCGCCCCTAACTTTCTTCCAACCATCCCCTACACCGGTTAGCATTGCACGTCGTGGTAATCGGTGTTCAGGCATACGTAATACGTGGCCCAACCATCTCAGTCGATGAAGATTCATAACCTCATCAACTGATTTACCATCATTCCCTAATACCCTGCGTCTAACCTCACTATTACTTACCCGGTGATCCCAGCAGATGCCAGTAATATTTCTAAGGCATCTGTGGTCAAATACTAGTAGCTTACGGGTGTCTTCTACTCTTAAAGGCCATGTTTCGCTGCCGTAAAGTAAGACAGAACGGACTGCCGCGCAGTATACTCGTCCTTTTATTGATAGACGGATATCTCGCCTCCGCCAAAGGTGACGTAAGTTGGCAAAAGCCAAACGAGCTTTTCGAATCCGTGCTGAGATTTCGTCAGACACCAACCCATTAGGGCTGATCAGACTTCCAAGATAAGTGAAGTTGTCAACGCGTTCAACTATTTCACTCCCTATCCTTAGTTCAGGTGTTGACAGAGACCAGTCCTGAAGCAACAACTTGCATTTAGAGAGAGAGAAGCGCATCCCAAACATTCTGGCATTGTTGCTTAGTGCTACCAGAAGACTCTGCATTTTGTCAGCGTCTTCACCAAACAGGACTATGTCATCTGCGTATTCCAAGTCGATAAGTGGACCTCCTCGTAGGAGATCAATGCCCGAGAACTCAATCGACGAGAAAGTTATTTCCATCAGTAGATCTATGATGAAGTTGAACAAAAATGGGGAAAGTGGACAGCCTTGACGGACACCACTTGTGGTTGCAAAAGCAGATGACAGTTCGCCATAAGCTCTGACTCGACTAGTAGTGTTCAAGTAAAAGGCCTTTACAAGGTTTATGTACTTCTGAGGTACGCCTTTCAATGACAGACACTGCCACAGAATCTCGCGGTCTACCGAGTCAAATGCTGCTTTTAAGTCGAGAAAGACCACCATTGTCGGACGTCGATAAGTATGCCTGTGTTCTAGAACCTGACGAATGGTGAATATGTGGTCGATGCAGCCACGACCAGGTCTAAAGCCAGCTTGGTTCTCTCGTGTTTGTAGTTCATGAGTCTTAGTTAGGCGTCTGATAATTATCGAGGCTAGTATTTTAAATATTATATTAGTTAAACTAATTCCTCTGTGGTTGTCACAGGATGATTTTGACCCTCTCTTATATATTGGGACGATAAGTGATTGTGACCAGTCAGGTGGGATAAAGTCTAATTCCCAGATCTTAGCTAAAATATTAGTCAACCTAATCGCTAAAATTGGACGACCATCCTTAAAGACCTCTGGAGCCAATCCATCTGGACCAGCTGCCCTTCCTCATTTCAGATTAACTATAGCCTTTTGAACTTCTGTTAGAGTTGGGGGACCTACTTCAATGTTCCATTCACACTGTCTGGGAATGGAGGGTAGTTGTAGAGTAGCTGAAGGCCAGCTGAACTGTTCCCTAAAGTGTTCCGCCCATCGTTCTAAACGCCTGGACTTGGAGCAGATGAGTGTATCGTCTTTTTCCGATATAATCTCACTTACACTTGACTTATTAATTCCAGTTTCTTTTATTAGTCTGTAAAGCTGTCTTGTGTTCCCTATAGTCACCGCCTTCTCCATCTCTTTTGCTTTCGATGCCCACCACTGCTCACGGTCGTTTCTTAGACTTTTTCTCAACCTAGATCTGATTTGTTTACGCTCTTCATCATGTTCAGAACTTGATGGGACGAGTTTGCGAGAATCCATCAGTGTGACAGACCTTGAAGAAATCCACTGGCTCCTTGCAACTCTGTGGTTTAAGTCACTAATAGATGTCACTGCTGTTTCCATAGCTGATTGTATGCCCTTCCAAGTAACATCTGGGTCAGCCTCGTCTTCACAACTACCGAAGTGTGACCTCAGTTGTTCCTGGAACCTACTTTTGGTTTTCTCGCTACTCAATTCACTTCTAATGGGTCATTTTACTTTGGCTTTTTTGCGTCCAGTGAGGCGCAAGCAGATGCGTGCCCGTATTGGGGCGTGGTCGGAGTCCAAGCAGGTACTCCAGAATGAGCGACAATCTTGTACCGACCCTCTCCAACGATGACTGATGGCAATATAGTCTATTTGAGTCCATCGTTGGTTTGGTGTAGGGTGTCGCCATGTTAGACGATGTCTCTCCTTATGCTTAAAATTTGTGTTTGCTAAAAATAAACGATTGTCTAAGCATAGCTGCAGCAGACGATCACCATTATCTGTTCGCTGTGTCGGAATACTAAAATATCCACCTAAATGCCTTTCTGTTTGTTTTAAGCTACCTATCTGAGCATTAAAGTCACCCCCTACGAGTACTATTTCTGGGCGTTTAGTTTTCTGAAGAAGTTCGGACAGCTTTCTGTAAAATTCATCTTTCAAATCATCTGAGCTGCAGTCAGTGGGAGCGTAGGCAGAAACGAAAAAAAGGCAACGACGTTTGTCCCTATCCTTCCGAGTTCTTACGTAGCCGTTCAGCCGAACAGCACATAGACGACTGTTGACGGGGATCCACTCTAACAGTGCCTGTTCCGCCCTCATGCTTAGTGCTACCCCTACTCCTGCCAGTCCACGAGAACTGGCCATCGGGTCACCAGATACACGGAGGGTGTATCTCGTTGGCTCTCCCTTTTGCTGAGGTGAGGTCAAGTGAATGACCACACTGAAATCCTGTATGCGTGTTTCAGAGACACAGCATACATCAATGGAAAGAGACTCTAGGGTTTTAGCCAAGGAAGCCTGCTGACCGATTTGACATAGGGTGCGTACGTTGAAGGCTCCAATGAGTAGTTTGGAGCGAGGTTTCAGTAGACCTGGGACAGAGTTTTGAGCACTAGAATCGTTGGCTATGGTGACACTTGAGGTGGAAGCCGAGAGAGGAAATTTAAAGTTGAAAGTCGATGTAGGAGGAATAATAGGAATTGAAGAGGAAGGCTGATTATGAATACAGTGGTCTTGAGTGCTGTTAGAGGTATGAGGGCGGTTATCACTTCCCGGTTGCCCACACCGTCGAAGGGTTCTTCTGGAGGTACCTGAAAAGGAATTTGGATTAAAGGTGGTCTTAGTGACCTGAGAGCGTGACCGCAGTGCCCAAGGGACAACTGCTTGAGGTCGGTCACACACGACCTTGTTATGGGTAATGCAATAATAATAATAATATTAATAATAGGGGAAACGGAAAGGTACAATCAGAAGAGATCTTTCAGTTAAGGAAGAAGCAACCACTTTTTTATGAAGAAGGTTACAGAAGGATCGCCACTGGCTTCTATTCTGACCGATATCTGATAACGTCTCTAGCCACTGTGTTGCACCATCTCTCAGACCCCAACCAGGGAGTCATGAAGGACCGACAGAAACCAGTTCTGTACAACTTTCTTTCATACCACGACACCATGTCATGCACTGACCACCTCTCCGCTTCTTCCAACAAGTCCCAGAGTCGGCAAATAATGCACGACGTGGAATTCTATGGAACGACATTCGGAGAACATGTCCAAGCCACCGAAGTCGGTGTTTCAAGATGGTGACACTAATTGAATTATCATCTCTGTGCCAGAACACACGATGCCGAACCTCTGCATTACTGACATGGTGTTGCTACTGAATGTCAGCAATCCTTCGGAGACAACGATGATCGAACACAGAGAGTCGTCTAACATCCTCAACTCGGAGAGGCCAGGTTACACAAGCATAGAGCAGAACTGCTCCCACCGACGCGTTGTAGACCCGACCTTTTACAGCCAGACTAACATCACGAAGGCGCCAGAGGTGGCCCAGATTGGCATAAGCCGTTCTGGCTTTCACTATTCGTGCATTGATCTCATCACTCACACCCCCACCAGCACTTATGCAGCTACCCAAATACACGAACTTCTCGACTACTTCTATCTGTTCACCATCCAGAGTGAGTGCAGGATTAGAATCCTGCCAGTCTTGTAGAAGTACTTTGCACTTCGAAGGTGCAAAGCACATACCGTAGCTACGGACACTGATTGCCAACTGATTAAGTGTGGATTGCATGCCTTGGGCATTATCACACAGTAGGACAATATCATCCACATACTCAAGGTTGAAAAGTCATCGATGGCAAAGTTGAAGAGCAATAGTGAGATTGGAAAACCCTGTCTAGCCCCACTGCTTGAATAGAACAATGGAGAAAGGTGGCTGTATGCTCTCACTCTACCTGAGGTGTTTGTATATAGGGCCTTTAAGACGCTAATAAACTTCTCAGGCACACCCTTCTTCAATAGACAATCTATTAGTACTGCCTCAGTTCTAGCGTTTAATGCGACACCAACGCCAGCAAGACTAGACGAAGATGCCACAGGGTCCCTGGATAAACGCACGTAAAACAAGCTTTTTGAAGCGACAGCTGGAGAGCGAATTTGTAGTACTTCACCAGTCTTGAATACGGGTCTCGGATAGACAACAAACGTTGATATTAAGACTTCCCAAAAACATAGCCAGCCCTATTTATTGTCCGACTTGCAAAAGTGTGCGAACGTTGAAGGCAGCCAGTTTAAATGGTGCGCGTGGTTTCAGAAAAACTGCTTCAGTATTCGTATTTGGTGGTAGTATACAATTTTCAACCAGGCAGTGACTCGAGAACGTTTAGACAGAACCGAGTTTCCACCATAGGCGAGCTGCTGTATAAGTCGAAAAATAAGGATACATAAAGTGGGAATATAAAGATTGAGTAAATGACGTAGTAAATAATAATAATAACAATAGTAATAATAATAATAGTGTGAACTGTTTGACTGTTAATCGAAGTGAGAATAGAGTCTTCATTAAACATCATCATTTTCATTTTATTTGTGTGTTAGTTAGTGTGCTAGTTAGTAGTCGGTAGCATAGGTTATGTGGGATTATGAAGCGCCTGTTGTGTTGATAAAGCTTAGTACTAGAATACACATTATTGTGCTATTTCTCTATGAGATGACATACTTCTTAAACAGAAAATAAGGGTGAAATTACGTTTATTGAACATGAAAGTAATACTCACACTGGGTGAAAAGATGACAAAACTTGGTAAACAAGTGGCTAATATTTACATGTTTTTAAGTAAGGATGCGACCGGTAAAACACTCCGTAACTCAGATTGCATACTATATTTGTTCACATATCCATCTCGTATATAAAAATTTAAAAACACGTTAGCGAGGTATAGTATCTGGTTGGAAACTGACTATAATAAAAGTCTCTTTCTTCGTTTTGCATATGATTTTTATACAACTAGACGCTAAAAACTTAATAAATAACTTGATTGTGTAGTATGCAAACAGCTGCTAACTGCGGTCACATTCCTCACAGCTTGTCGATAACAATATCAATAGAAGCAGAGGTTTCTAAAGAAAACATATCATAATTTACTAAAATATATGAATGGGAAACACCAACAGTTTGATGCCAGATATATTTTCGCTAATAAGCAAAGTTTTATGTTCACTGGAAACTAGAAAAGACTAGACTAGAAAAATGACTACTACTTACCTTACTGTAGAGAAATGACCATCTTCTAAATGCCAACCTTCACCTGACTCTGGTCCACCATATACAATAAAATGTCTATGACCATGCCAAAAGACAGATAAAACCATACGTAAAACAGTTCCATCAATATTATGATCTTTATTTAATATTGTTTCGTTATGACTACCATTGATTAAATCCCCATTAGTTCCATTCCAATGGGCTAAGGTATCACGCCCACTGGAACGTTTACTTGTTTGTCGAACAAGGAAATCCCCTTGATTCTGTAAAAGACTTTAATAGCAAGAAAGAATGCGGTACGATAAAACTCGTGATTTCAATTTTCATATAAAAATATGACAAGGGAAAAGGTTATTATAACAAGTGAACCATCCGAAAGACGTTTGCGATCAAATTATGAAGTCACTTTCTCTTCTACACACTCAACACAGATTACAATGTATGATTAATACAATACCGCACTTTAGAATAAATAAGGGTACCACATGTGATACTGTAGTGGACGAGAACACAATTAGGGACAAACGTATGTATTTTAGTAAAATCTGAGAACCATACAGTAAACAATTCATTTGCAAAATGTCAATCAATCGTCTTAGACTTCACAGTTCCTTCAGTACCACAGCAATCATTATCTGTTTTCATTCCCTTTTCTTCGATCTTCTTAACCTTCCGCTGTCAAGTACTTCACTTTCGATTAATGATACATACTACTCATATCTATCGACATCAGTAGCACACACTACAATGCAACTGTTCATTGAACAGTTCATAAATAGTTATGCTAGCTACTATTGTTTTATAAATTCAAGTAAAAAAAGGTCAGAATGCTGCACAAAATACAAGTTTGTTGATACTTAAAGCCATAAGAAAATTTAAGAGTTAAACTATTAGTGTACTACTTCATAACAGATTGTTATATCCCAATGAGAATTATGAATGGTAACTGTTGAGAAGCATTTAAGGAATAATCCTATACACGAATTTTTATTGTATAATTACTATGCAATTAAACTATTCATATTCATGTTCCTCTTATTATAAGCTTTATTTTGACCCATAGATGATTATTATACGATTTACCATTCTTTGAGTTATGCTCTGTCTATTCATCACAGTCTCCTAAATTCATAACTACATTTGGCTAAATCTTGTCAAATGTGTATTTTCAATTTTACAGTACGATGTGGTGTCTTTGGTTTGAATATAAACCCAGTACATTTGAAATACATGATTCATATCGCTGAGGCTGAGATTGGTGTTCTGGACTCAACAGGCAGGAACGGCTAGTCAAGAAGGATTCTAGACTGCTCATATGGGTTTTATGCGTCATCAGGCCGATCGATAAGTAACAATTTTCTAATTGGCGTTATCGTTAGATTATAAATTGATAGGGGCACTAGACTGTAAGTTATAAGTCAGTTAGTTAGTTAGCAACAATGTACAACTTCGTACGTACGTACATTACTTTGAGTTGCCATACCACATTAGCACAGAGATGCAGTTGTCCATTCAAGTCCTGTAGTGGCAGAGGTGGTAAGAGTATAAGCAGTAATCGGAAAGATTAGGGTTTGAAGATGTTATTTAAAGAGTACAGTCCAGTGAAATAAATTTTGAAAGAGAAAAAAAGGGAGGTACGATATTCAGAAGATTAGAACTTGAGAGAACACAAAGAGTGGATGCACCCGTGCCATTGCAAACGATTTTCAGCCATGTCATTCAAGGTCTCTAACCATCGGTTGCTTTCATCTCGCAGTCCCCAACCACGTAGTCTACACCTACCAATATGACTCAGTCCACTTGTCGGTGACCTCATGGATTTGTGCCATGCTCTGATCTGGCCGCTCCTAGCTTTCTTCCAACCCACTCCTATAGTATAAAACGTAGCATGTCGGGGCAGTCGGTGGTTGGGCATACGTGACACGTGTCCCAGCCATCTCAACTGATGAAGTTTCACTACTTCGTCATTCGATTTGCCATCCTTACCTAGTACTCGTTTCCTAACAACTGCATCACTTACTTGGTGGTCCCTGGATATACGAGCAATATTTCGAAGGCACCTATGATCAAATACTAGTAACCTACGAATATCCTCTACTCTTACAGGCCATGTTTCACTGCCATAAAGTAGGACGGAACGAACTGCTGCGCAGTAAACCCGTCCTTCAGTTGATAGACAGATATCTCGCCTACGCCATAAATGACGCAAGTTGGCAAAAGCTAGTCGAGCCTTCTGTATCCGTGCTGAGATTTCGTCACACACCAGACCACAAAGGCTGATGAGACTTCCCAGAAAAGTGAGGCGGTCGACACGCTCGACTAAATCACTCTCTATCATTACTTCGGCTGTCTATGCAGCCCAATCCTGAAGTAAAATTTTGCATTTCGGGGGAGGGATCGCATGCCGAACATGCTTGCATTGTTGATTAGAGTGGTGAGAAGACTCTGGATTTTGTCAGCGTCTTCACCAAATAGAATTATGTCATCAGCATATTGTAAGTCAACAAGTTATAACACAAAAGGATTTAATTTCAAATGAAATGATAACTCATTATGGTGTTTTCATTTTATTGACTGTTGGTTCATTGTTACCAATCAATAATCTGTGTCCAATGAAAATCTATTCCATTTTTATTTCAAAATTAAGATTCCCAACACTTTTTTTTATCAAAAAGAATTCACAATGTGTCCTTAATGAAAAATGAACAAGAATTTAATTTTCTATGTGAAAAAAGAAAAGAAAAATATTCCACAATACAGTAAAGTACATGTAAAATAGACGAAGAAAATGGTGAAGAATCCAAAAGAACGAAAAAAAGGGGGGGGGAAGGCTCGTAGTCGTGATTGTAGTCATGTTGATACTTGTCCCAGCATTAATCAGTTAACATCATGTTCTAAATAGATATCTGAATAATATATAATCTATTCAGAACAAGAATAGCATAGTATGAATGAATAAGTGAGTGAGTGAGTGAGTGAGTGAGTGAGTGAGTGAGTGAGTGAGTGAGTGAGTGAGTGAGTGAGTGAGTGAGTGAGTGAGTGAGTGAGTGAGTGAGTGAGTGAGTGAGTGACAGTAACTCCACAAGAAGCATTGATTTTTATTATTCAAACATGCAAACACTACTGTTTCACACATCCAAGTACTATTACAAGTACAATCATAATTCTAATATTCAATAAATTAATAAGTAAATATATGTAACTATTCCAGTAAGTGATCTAACACAGAAATATAGATTATATATGTAGGCTTACAACAGTAAAAATCTTATATTGTCGTAGTACGTACAATGGGGTAAAAGCCACACCTTCAATAAGAAAAAAAGCACATCTTGTAGTCAGTAAATCAATAAAATCAGACCACATTATTGTATTTCAAGTTCATTAAAAGCAAAACAACGCTAAAATAACACTAACAATGGAAAACTACACTAATAAATGAATTCATGAGTCAATTGAAGCTAGACGACCATGGAAAACCTGGAAGCACCGGATGCCCGTGACCAGTGGAGTTCAACCAGGTCGGTTGTGAGATAGTAACTCACTGAAGACAGTGGAGTAATTCCGTTACACATTAACACTGTTGAATGCCGGCTGAGTGGTCTAAAGGGTAAGCATTCGCGCGCGAGACTGATAGGCCCTGGGTTCGAATCTCATGGGGCGGTATCGTGGACGCGCACTGTTATGGAGTCTCGTACTAGGATGAAACGGCCATACAATGCTTCCAGGTTTTCTATGGTGACGTAGCTTTAATTGACTCATGAATTCAACTATGAAAAACTAAATCATAGGTGACGTATTTAATATAAATAACGAAAAGTCAATAACAAGGCATTGATCTCCTACCAGGAGATTCACTTATCGACATAGAATACGCAGATGATGTAGTCCTGTTTGGTGAAAATGCTGACAAAATGCAGAGTTTTTGGAGCAAAAATGCCAGAATCTTTGGGATGCCCTTCTATCCCTCCAGATGCAAGTTGTTGCTTCAGGACTGGTCTGCGTTAACACTTGAACTAAGAATAGGGAGTAAAGTAGTCAAACGGGTTGACAACTTTACTTATCTTGGAAATCTGATCAGCCCTAACGAGTTGATGTCGGACGAAGTCTCTGCACAGATTCGAAAAGCTCATTTGGCTTTTGCCAAGTTACGTCATCCATGACGAGGGGGCAAGATATCCGTCGCTTCACGATTCAAAGGGCGAGCTACTCACTGCACAACGGTTCAGTTCTTGTCTTTACTTTTAACGGCTGCGAAAACGATGACCATTAGAGAGTAGAAGAGATTACTCCCTTACTGATATTTGAACACGCAGATTGACCTTATGAAGTCATTACCAGCATCTGCTCGGATCACCGGGTGAGAGTAATAGTGAGGTTCGGACATCAGGGTATGAAGGGAATGATGGTTAACTCACGCGTATGGGAGGTCGTAAATCTCGTACGTTGTAGCTGAATGACTGACTGACTATGAGGTTATCTCCTATAGTAAATACATACAATACAACATGAAATCAGTAAACACTCCTCAAACCTACATCAAACCTAAACTCCTCGAGCTCACTAATATCCTCCGTCTGCGGATTCCTTACTCTGTCCGGCACCCGTCTCCGCTAAGCTTAGTCCACACCCCCACCAGTCTGCTCTCCCGCCCCCCCCACCCCCCCCCCCCTCCAAGTCATCATAAATTAGGCTTTTCGGTTGATTTGTTACTTTATGTCTTCATTTAAACAGTTAATTGATCATAAGCAAATAAAAAAGGCAACATATTACAAATATTTAGTATAAACAGAAGGTTAGTGGTTATCCGTCACAATCACAACCTTACAAGTTCGATTCAGCCATTCATTGAATAAACCATCTATAAGATTTTTTTGTGATAAACGTACCGTTCCACCTCTGCTCTAGGCAAAACACCATGAAACCACGGTTCCTTGTTCAATAATCCACATCCACACGTATAAAAAGAGACCAATATAACACAGTCTACGTTTTGTATTTCCAACATACATAATATCTTTGACATTATTCAAGTGTAATTGAGTTTTATAAATTTAGGATGATGAAGAGGTTCTAAGGAAGAAGGTATCTAATTGACACTGCGTCTCAATGTGATTAGTATTTAGTGTATGATTAAAAAATAACCAGGATATTTGACTAAGTAAGTCCCTACGAATATGACCGAAAAATAAAAACAAAGATCGTTTTTGAGTTATTTCTCACTAGGATTTAAAGTAAGGAGTCAACAGTTTATTGGTCTTACGTAGTATTCGAATTTTCAATTAAACAGACTACAGATTCGTAAGCTACATTATGGCTAAAATCAGTTTAAAGCAATTAGTCCATTTGATAAATTTCGATAGTGTAATAAGAAGACGAAGGTGATCAGAACTACGTGATGGGCTATTAGCGCAGTACATATCGAACAATGTGATCACATATATACTTGTTAAGTTAACTAGACTAGAAATGAAAGGTAAAAGGAGACAAGGATAATAAAGGAATAATGTGAAAATGATTTGAAACCTTATCATCACTTTGGATAATAAGCTAATATTATCAGGGTAGGTTTAAAGTGAGAACAAACTGTTTTTTGAATACACAGAGGGGGTTTGAATCTTCGTATGACTAAGCCTTCAATAAACCTTAGTATACGTCCTTTTACACTTTTGTACAACACCACAAAAGCTGAGTTAAGATCAATCTAATGACATGTTTCAATTATGTGTTTAGCAATAGAGGATGATGGATGTTTATCCTCTACCCTTATTCGGTCATTTGATTCTATTTGTTTGTGCAGTCATTTAAGTACATATAAATCTTAACAAGTATATGCATGATCAAATTGTTCGAAATGTATTGCGCTAATATATATTATCAAATAGTTCTGATAATCTTCCTCTTCTTATTACGTCATCGAAAATCGGTTTAAGTAATTGAACAGAGAATTTATTAACTTGTAGATAAGATTACTTCAATAGATCAAGATTTGTATCCAGTTATGAAGTTGATCGGTAGATGCATATAGTAACTATGTATATTCCATACGATGAGAACATGAATCAAACAAAATAACGGATCAACTCAATTCATAAACAAAACAGTAAAGAATAGAGATAGAGGGAGAGAGTTTGTAGTGAGCCCATTCAACTACTGTATTATTTTAATTTATCCATACTTGGTTAACACTCATAAATATATATGGTGGTCTAACTTCAACTGACTCATGATTTCAATCTATGAAATTTCTAAAATCTTCACAAACCCCTTCTGCTAATTATCATCTGCTCATTAGTGACTGACTTCAAGAGATACTCCTGGAGTTCTAGTGGGAAGCCGTTACAAGTGGAGTTCAACCAGGTCTGTTGTGAGATATCAGCTCACTGAAGACAATGGTGCATGGTGGTGCAACTTCGTGGATTGGTTGAAGTTAGACATTAACACCGTTGGGTGCCGGCTCAGTGGTCTAATGGTTAAGTGCTCGCGCGCGGAACCAGTAGGTCCTGGGTTCGAACCCCGCGGGGTGCGAGATCGTGGATATGCACTGCTGAGGAGTCCCATACCAGGATGACACGGCCACCCAGTGCTTCCAGATTCTCCATGGTGGTCTGGCTTCAACTGACTCATGATTTCAATCTGTGAAATTTCTAAAATTGCCACAAACCCCTTCTGATAAAATATATATGGTTTTTAACACACACACACACACACATACTTGGTTTCCCTGTGTGCTTGCTTCCTGTACGCTTGTGGATTTTACCAATCTTTAACAATAAACTATATCTATAACTGGTGTTCAAGCTTTTGAATAATCTTGAATAATCCATCATTCTACTAGGAGATTTATCTTTCATTAAATACTCAGTTAATGGGATACTATTTATTGGAGTCAGATATAGAGGAATTTAGTCTCTACAAGTTAAACAGAATGACATTTTACGCATAGTTATTTAAATATGGACAAATTTACAACTAGTCAAATAACATACCACTAAATCATATTCGAATTTTCTTCTTTTCTATTTAATTGTATTTAAAAAAAGTAGTACATGTAAAATTTATGGACAAAATGAAATATCCACTTATGTACATGAGAAAAACCTAATACATTACACTTTTATCAGTTATATGCTCAGTTATAATTATTTAGAACTATATATATATATATATATATATATATATATATATATATATAGTATAGGGTTGGACCATCGTTGAAAATCTGGAAGCACTGGACGGCCGTTGTTTCTAACTATGGGATCCCACGACTGGGATCGTGGATGCGCACCGCTGAGGAGTCCCTTAATAGGACGAAACGGCCGTCCAGTGCTTCTAAGTTCTCAATGGTGATTCAATATCAATCAATTCAACATCTCAATCAATGTTGTTTTTGATTAGATCAGGCTATACTCTAATTTACAGTAATATTTAATAGGCCAATCAGGTCAGTTGATGAGCTTGTGATAACCGCGGAATTGATTACGTAACTAAATATAGTGAGTGAAAAGTACAAATTGGTAGTGTACTAGTTGTGATCAGAAATATAAAGGCTTGAATCAAAGTTACAAAATGGAAAATAGGTTAATGATTAGAAAAAAATATAGACATTGAATTAACATTCATAGAAAGATTGTAAGATTACGTAATAAGAAATGTTCAGATAATTGGAACGTGAAACGTATATTTGTAGGGGGGGGTGAAAAAGAATAAACAGAGAGAGTAATAAATAAATAAAATCATTTATTAAGGCCAAGGGAGAGATAAGGGTGTTACAATATTCTTATGAACATAAAGATATTGATTGTTGACTCGAATTCCTGTAGCTTCTGCTATGTGTAAGAGATGAGATCGAACACCTTAAGGAAAACTAGTAGGAATACGATAAATAACTTTTAAATGACTTATTTCTGTTTACTATATGACCAGTATCGATCAAGTGTGATAGAACCGAGCTGCATATTGACTTCACAGAACCTTTTCATTAACACAAAGGGAGATGTTCACTAACTCTGCTTTACTTGTCTGGTAGTGCACCCAATATAGCTTTCCCTACAGGAGTAGCTGAATTCGTAGATACACAGAAGTGGCATAACCAGGTAACTTATCCTTTAGTTGAGGAATCTCCATAGATCAGGTCGAGTACGATAGACAAAGGTTGGGTGCATTAAACGTTCTCTTCAGTGTCCTTGTCAGTCTATCACCAACTAAATCTCCATTGAATTGCAGATTCAAAAAGAGAGGTTTCTCACTAGCTGTTGATGTCGCTATTTTCTTGTTTGTTACACGTAGTGTTTCTTCAGAAAACCCTGTGGATAACCCATTTCAATCAACATATTATATATGATCTCTAATTTCTTGTTAATTGTATCGACTGAGCATATATTAATAGCTCTATTTTCCAGACATTTGACTAAATTTCTCTTATAATGAAGGGGTACAAAGCTTAAGAAATGTGTGTATTGGCTTGATGAAGAACTTTTTCTATACAACCTTCTACTAATAAACGACGTGTGTCCCTATCCTTCCGATTTCTTACGGAACCGTTTAGCCGAACAGCACATAGACGACTGTTGACGGGGATCCACTCTAACAGTGCCTGTTCCGCCCTCATGCTTAGTGCTACCCCTACTCCTGCCAGTCCACGAGAACTGGCCATCGGGTCACCAGATACACGGAGGGTGTATCTCGTTGGCTCTCCCTTTTGCTGAGGTGAGGTCAAGTGAATGACCACACTGAAATCCTGTATGCGTGTTTCAGAGACACAGCATACATCAATGGAAAGAGACTCTAGGGTTTTAGCCAAGGAAGCCTGTTGACCGATTTGACATAGGGTTCGTACGTTGAAGGCTCCAATGTGTAGTTTGGAGCGAGGTTTCAGTAGACCTGGGACAGAGTTTTGAGCACTAGAATCGTTGGCTATGGTGACACTTGAGGAGGAAACCGAAAGAGGGAGTTTAGAGTTGAAAGTCGATGTAGGAGGAATAATAGGAATTGAAGAGGAAGGCTGATTATGAATACAGTGGTCTTGAGTGCTGTTAGAGGTATGAGGGCGGTTATCACTTCCCGGTTGCCCACACCGTTGAAGGGTATTTCTCGAGGAGCCTGAAAAGGAAGTTGGATTAATGTTGGCCTTAACGACCTGGGAGCGTGACCGCAGAGCCCAAGGGACAACTGTTTGAGGCCGGTCGCGCACGGCCTTTTTGGGAGGTTTTTAACTTGTTAGCTCTGTTCTTTAAAGGGCCTTACCGCCGGAGACAGAAATCCGTGAGGTAAAGTGAGGTGTGCATTCTTAGGGTCGACCTTTTCTAACCCCACCCCTCCTTGTGGGAAGACAGCATCGCTGTCATGCTGGTTGTCTGAAGGAAACACCTCACTGCTGTCACACCTCTCTACAGTCAGCAGTACGACTTCGCCTTCGGACCTTGGGTTTGTTGCTTTTAGTCTTACCGCTCTTCAACCGACCTGTCTGACATGGTAGGACCTCGAGGAACGGTTGTTCCAGCCAGTATAGCTCGGTTGCTTCATAACGATAGGCAAGCCCGACCACCACGTCAAGGTAGCAACAACGGTCGGGATATACCTCTTCACATGTAAATTTGATTGTAGGGTGTTTGCCATACCATTAATTTGTCTATAATATGTGTTATTAAAGACAAAATGGACATTTATTGCACATTCTAGAAGTAATTATTTGAGACTAACCCCAGGAATCCCGATATTGATTTATTTTTCAGATAGCTGTTGGCACATAAATCAATAGTCTCAGTTAAAGGTACATTGGTAAACAGGGAAGTAACATCTAGGGATATCATCGGGTCCCCATTTAAGTTCATATGTTCAACTTTGGAAATGAAAACAAAAACGTCTTTCATGCTTCTGTTGACGACTATTTTGTGTAAAGGATCTAGGATTCGAACTAACCACTTTGCAGTTTTATGGTATGGCGAATTATACATATCTAAAACTGTACGAAGAGGAAGACCAATCTTGTGAACTTTAGGTAAACCATAGAGTCGTGGTGTGTTCGATCCAGTGAGTTAAAGTGAATCGTGTATGTTTGGAGTAAGTATTCTTTTATTTTTTTTTAATTCCTTGAGTGAATTGGTCAGCAATTTCTCTGTTTTCATATTTATGTCATTCACATTGTTGAGTTTTTGAAATTTAGTCGGGTCATTCAAAATCAATCTAGGTAGTTGAATATTAATGTAAAAATTGAATCATATGACTAAAGTAGAATTTGATAAATAGATCTATCAAGTGTATCCATGATCTAACGTCATAAAACTTCCTCTTAAGAATATCAAAGTGTACCAATTGTATCTCTTTCAACATATTCTTCCTTTATGAAACTAAATTCATCATCCTACATTCGTTTTCGCAATTCAGAGCTCCCCTCCCTGAAAGATCTTGAAATCCAAACTTTTCATCTGCTTAGTTTTTTTCCATAAGTTATTATCATAGTGCTACCGCATTGTGATTTTTTCTTCGAAATTCATGATTAAAACGAAATCAATAGAGTTTAGATTTGATAAGTAAAGCTCTAATGTAATGATCAATGTACAAGTATCGAAATCGTAAACAATCATTTCTGAATGGGTAGAAACACCATTCACCTATTATTAATATAGACTTTTAGTCTAATACATAATCATAAGAACTTGGAACTTCACGTAGTAGATTTTACGATTCACTATTCAACAGAGAACTAATAATGAACAACATCATGTATGTTCGTTTATTACGTGGAATGATTCTGTCATGAACGGTAAGATTTATAAACTGGTATAAAGCACAGCAATATACTAATAATACTGACCTCATTCACTATAGGAAAGCTGGTTAAAATGGATGTTGAATCTTGTGATTCACGATTAGATTGTATATGATTTTGTTGATTGAATTTTTTATTTTGATGATAAAATGGAGTATCCATACCTGATAAGAGAAGAGAAGAAACAACATTTTACATATAAAATAAAAATTATTAGATTACAATTCAATTGAATAAAATGTAGTAGTTCTAATGAATCAGAACATAAGTGGGGAATAATCGAATGTCAAATCTGAGAACCATACATTAAATACTTCATTCACAAAATGTCAATCTATTGTTTCAGACTTGATAATCCTTTGGTTTCTACATCAATCATTCTCTGTTCTTGTTTTGTCTTCTTTGATCTTCTCAACCTTCTGCCGTCAGGCATTTCACTTTCTATTGATGATACATACTACTTATATCTGTCGATATCAGTAGGATACACTACAGTATTATCGCAGCAAGACTTTCAATTTACTTTGTGGAATTATGGATGTATACTATTAAAGATTACTAAATTAAAACAATAAGGCTAGTAAATAGTAACTGATTTTAAATGGTTAGTTAGCTTAGATTAATCAATGATGACAACTCTGGAACAATGCAAACAATCAACAACATTAAACGATATTAAACGTATAAGATTTTATGGAAATGGACAAAAATAATGTTATACCCGGACGAAGAATAAGTAAATGGTAACTGCTAGGATCTATTTATGGACTGTTATTAGATGATATATTATTAATATTGAACCGTTAAGTAAGTATACTATATGTATATGCATATCCCTTTCATTATAAACTTCCGTTTGACCTATTGACTACTATAATACGATTTACCATGCCTAAATTATCCCCAATTTGTTAGTTACAGTATCTCACAATAACAGCCATTTTTTGACCTGATCTTGTCTAATTCTTATTTTCTATTTTATGCTATGATGCAGTTTGATTTACTTGTATATAAACCAAGTATGTCTGAAATAGATGGTTTATTCAGCGAAGGCTGATATTGGTGTTCTGAACTGAACCGGCTGAGTTAAGTGTGAAGTTGCTGCAACTCAGAGTTGATT